TGAGAGTGAAGAGTGGGAGAGGCGGCCATGGCTATGGTGGACCGCAAGTGATACCTGCAGTAGAAGAGGGACTCGGACATTGATTTTGGATCAGCAATTCAACATTGTATTATTATTTCTTGTATGAATAAGAGAAGGGGGAGATAAGGAGGAGATTGTTGGGCGAAGAAGAAGAGCCTTGCCATTTGTCTATGGTGGTGTACATCATTTTCTTCCTTCTTACTTCTTCTTCTTCTAATCCTCTCTCTTCTCTCAAGTTCATTCATTTCTTTCTGCAATTGGGCAGCATTGTACTATTTGATGCATGGGTATCTCGAAATTAGCCAGCATCATACCAATTTTATCTTTTTCCTTACTTTTGTTTCTTTCCATTTTGAGTTGCCAAGTCATTCCGAAGTTGGCCGTTTGAGTTGGTCCCTAAAAAATGGCATATTATCTCCTCCATGAGATCTGATCTCAAATTTATGACCAAACCAGCCAGCTCCTCTTTGTTTTTTCTTAAATGTTTACCTTTTTAATTCATATATTGTCGATATAATGCAGATATTGTCGATATAATGCCCCAACGGCCTTATCTCTTCACTCCGGATTTGCTCAAACTAAATTATAGAGTGATGAGGTCATAGTACGGACCTGGTAGTTCATACTGTGCAAGTATCAATTGGCCAACTCATTTCCCTGTTACCTTTTTCCCCACCTATTCTCCTTCCATTTTTCCTTCTTTTTTTTTTATTTTTTGACGTGACAAGTGCCAAGTGGCTGTTGAGACTTTTTCTAGCTCATGGATCTTGATCTAGATCTAGATCCAAATCAAGCTATTGTCCATTATTTATTGGATCATAATAATGAGATCCCCACTCTCATAGGAGCTTCATTTTGCCTCCATTACTCTCGACTTTTGCCCCCCCTTGCTCTGATTTTTCCTTGACAGCCTATTTTCTACATAGTTCCTTGAGGCTTTATTTTCTCTAGCTTGGCTGGTTTGAAATACCTCGAACAACAACGTAGGCCTTCTTTCTTTATTTCCCTCCTCCTTTCTTCCCGAAATCTTGTCACCTTGGCCCTACTAATACTAGTTAATATTTTTCATGGCTACGATCCGAACGTCCGGACCGGAATCCAGACCGCCTGGATCCAGACCAGACTCCAAACGTCCGGTCCGGAAGGTCTGGTACCTACAGTCTTTCTTTATTTCCCTCCTCATTAGTCGTCATTTGACAAACTTTGTGCTCACGAAGAAGGAGCGGGAGGATGAGATGATGAAGGTCAGGGATGATGAGGCAGCCGGTGCGCGCAGATGCATTTCTTTTGGACCCAAGAGAGATGCATGCTGGCTCCTTGATGCAGACAGCGCACTGGTCCAATACACAATGTGTTTTTTTTGTAAGACAGGTGGGGGGAGAGTGGGACAGCAAGGCACATTCAAACATGTTGGGGTAACTGTGGCAGTTCCACAAGGACCCAGAAGGGAAGACAAGGACCACAAAGATGACAGGTTGTGGAAAACGGTTGCAAGGGATGATGTCTCGCGATTCAGCCCAGCAAACTGGTGGTGTTGCATACTCGTGAAACACAGTCATAAGTTTGGCGCAGATTCCCAGAACCGACCAGATAATAAAGAGTAAATACAAATACAGCGGAAGACTTGAGATACATGGACTGACTCTGACCTGACTCGGACTGCAATCGAACACTCTCAATCATTTATCAGGGGTGCGAAAGCCCTGGCCTTGGACACAGACGAAAGGCCAGGGTCTGAGATCATCCACGGACGAATGGAGGGAGGAGAGAGACGAAGGGAGGAGGAGAGGGAAGATGACGTCAACTCGACGTTTCCAAAGATAGTATCTTGAAATGCCAGAGATGGCGAGAATCCGAAATATTGCGAATACAATGTCCCACAATGTCTCAGATATCGATCTCACAATGTCAAGTACATCTCCAGAGGCAGATGAAATCAGATCCCACAAGTAGTCCTCAACCTTTAGTCCCAATGTCGCTGTCTCCAATGTCATCAGAATTCGTAACCATCTTTCATACTCATAGTAGTCCCGTAGGAGAACCCAGAAGTAGCCTTGGACTGAGAAGGTAGGAGGAGAGAGAGAGAGAGAGGTGGAGGAAGAAGAAGGAGGGAAGGCGAAGCCTTCCTCCCTGGTACCTGGCACGATAGCTATGGCGCTCCAAGGGGGCTGGGCCGGTAACTGGCGTTGCGCCCAATGCTGCGCTGATCCTCTCGCCGCTGAACTCCTGCTCTCGTCGCTGCTCCTCGCTATGCTCCAGCGCTGCGCTAATCGTACTAACGCTGGAACATTGCGCTAATCCTGAAGACTAAACTTCGGTCCATACTAACCTCTACCTACTACTGAGGCTGGTACCCAGCCTTTTGTAGTGCTGGGCCGGCCTCCTACCTGCTGGTACCTACCGGCCTGGACCATTGATCTGAATCGACGGTCCGGATTCGAACTGGATTTGGCGCCTAAACGCGGCAGCCTCTGCAGCGCCGCCGGTAGGTCCTATGCTGGACTGGTACAGGCCTTGTGGCCGTTGGCCTGGGCCTCTACCCCTGGCCTGCCTGAACCGCCGTGGTCCTGGCCTATCTGGCCTCATCTGAACCATCGTCCCTTAGGCCCACCCTGCCTATTTGGAACCGGGCCCTAACTGGGGCCCGTGTGGCTTAGAATGCCACAGGTGGACAGCACATGGTGGGGAAGTTCCGGCCTTTCAGGACATTGCAAGGCCATGGGTACGTGGAGCAGTGCAACCCCCGCTGAGCGAAACTGGAAATCCATGGACTTGGTTCACTCCAAGAGAAGGAACCGTTTGTCGTCCATTGGAAGTCGAGTACATCCATTGGAACATGTAGTTGCTGCATGTCCCAAAGAATAAGGACAATGTGTGCCATGGTAACCCCAGACCCGAACACCGGACACTTCCGGACTGTCTTCCGGACCAGTGTCTGGACCAGTCCGGACTGTCTGGTGATCCGGACATCACCGGACACCG